AATATTTAAATACGCCCTGTACAATAAATTTGATAAAAATTGAAGCGTCTGGTGCATATGTATAGATGTATCTCCAAAAATTAAAGACAAATAAACTTTTTTCATTATTCTAACCGCCGATAGCGAAAACTCCTCAACCTTTATTTGGACATTAATGCTGGGCTGGGTCTAGCTCAGACCCAGCCTAATCTGAGGAAGCACCTATCAATTAAATCAACAATTGCAATCAGCTGCAAAATATGCTATTATCTATCAATAAAATAAACCGAACAACTTAATTTTGAGCTCGTAAGCTCCTACCATTCATTTTTTCATCTTTTTTTTATATATTAACGCAATATCCATATAAAAATCACTGCCGCAATATTTACTAGAAGTGCGTCCGCTGGCTCTGGCTCCACTTCAAACCGTCATTATTGAAGTTCAGCCTGTGTTATTATATTAACTTGTTGCTTAGAAAGCTCGTGTATTGGCCACTTATGCCAGCGGTTGTATTAGTATGTGAGAAATTGTACCATTCATTATTGAAATTTATTTAGTTAGAAACTATTTCGAGTTTATTTGATTGTCCAAGTCCAGTCTTTCCAAACTTTGAAGAGGGAAATATTCAGCTCATTGCTGTCACTTGAAGCACATGTAGGACTGCGTTATTACCTTTTACCAGCACATGCGTGCTGTTAACATGCGTTGGGCACCGGTCGTCTCATCTGAGTTGTTCTTCAAGATACTCATCGTAATAAATTAATTGCTTCTCAGAAATAGTACAAATATTTAATACAATAATTTAAGAAAGTTTTTAAGCTCGCAGTACGTTAGGCTCATTGTGTAATATGTATTTCAATTAGCATTGCAAATTATCTGCTGCGGCTTTCACATTGGAGTTCTACCTCGGATTCTCTCGAGCCCGTTTTGAGTACTTTAGTTTTCTCAATAAAGTCATTTAGAAGTCTTATATTGCTGTCATTTTCTTACATCCGATCATCCTGCTCTTTATTTTATTACATATTTTTGAGGCACCAAAAAATCAAAACCAATATAGAAATACAACATAGTTGCTTCACTTGTATATTCAGTTCGGTAGTGTGCCTCTAATTGGCCTGAATAAATTAAAGATTTAATTTGATCTCCTATTAAAGGATAATATTTCGTGAACAATTTGTTTAGTAATTAAATAACATGAGTTAACAATTTTATTGTATACATACACTTGAATATTGGTCGCAATTCTGCTAGAACTCTTTATTCGGATTAGTATAAGAACTATAGAGCCTTCATCCGGGTATTTTACATGAAATTAAATTTATTCGTTTAATTGTTAGTCGATGGCCTCATCTGGCAATGGGGGCGGCTTACGATCGAAGATTCTGGGCGCGTCTATCTGCATAGCATGATCAAACCTAAGCGCAGGTATGGAAGGATTCGTAAGTGAAGTAAAGAAGCGGGGAAAAGTGGGTTGTTGATCAGGTGCATGGTGTACAAGAATCCATAAGTTAAAAGAGAGGCATAAATTTTCTGTTGATCAGCTGATGGACGATCGGAATCGTTCTCTTGATGCTCGCAAGGGAGTTTAGACGGAAAATTGTGAGGTGCGAATCATTTTCTAAACGGCCAAATTTAGTGTACAAGTAAGATATAGGAGGAGATAAGGCCATAGGAAAGATGCTATTAAATCTTGGTGAAAACGATATTGCGATTGCTTCAGACGCAAGTCGAGCGAATAAGATTAGTTTCTACCAGTACTTGCAGTTGTAGTAGTAGCAGAAGTAGTATTGAATTAATTATCGGTACATTAAAATCACATGAAACGAGCGACCAAAATGAGTATGAGCACAATTGAAGCGACTATGTTGATTTCTTATCTTCTGATCGAAAGAAATTAATAGAATGAAATCCTGCTCTGTTATCTTTTCCCAAAATTTTCATAATTCATTTGTTCGAGCAAGTCAATTACGTTTTTGCCTTTCCATAGAAAGCAGAGCAGGCTACAAATTATTCTTGGGTAACACCCTCACTACTTTTAGGCATTAAAATCAGATGTTCATATACTTGAAAAATTCCAACAGTGACTCCTCCTTTTGAAAAATGTCCTAATATACTTAGGAATGTCACTTCAAAGTTTTTTCTGACACCAGCGGACATTGGCAGTCGCTCCGCAAAATTTACAAAAATTCCGAATAGGCTGGGGTGCATTCGAAGGTTACTGCCACGCTTCCTAATTCGAAATTTGCTGTCGAATTTACTCGCCTGAATCCGTGCTCGACGAAAGGGCGAGTGGCGTTTGCGAGGCTTTAGAACTGTGACAGAAGCAGCGGCCGAGCTCATGAATAAAGCATACGTCGATGTGTACTTCAAAGTTGTTCTGTGTTAGCTGGAAAACGAATGATATGCTTGACATGCATTCGAACATTCGTTCCAAGTGGAAGATCACACGTGACATGCTCGACAAACTTTCCAAGTGTAAAAAGTGTAAAAATATGTAAAATTGAATGAAACGCCGGTCAAAGTGGGAGAGGATTCGCATAAATTTTGTACTGAAGTATTCAATTTAATTATACAAGTATTAAATCACAATTGCCGCATAAAAATCAATCTTGCATTTACCAAGTTACTTGATATGAAGTTATTACAACGGGTAATTTTTGATTCGGGTTAAAAAAGTGATAATATTTTTTTCGAAATGCAGCTTCGCAACTATTTTTCTAAAGCCAAATGAATATCTTCGGGCACACCGTGTACACGCTTGCAAAAATCCTTTCCACTTTAGGAGATTTAGTAAACGTATAATGAAAAAAGACTGAATATATAAAATGCGGCGTTTTTTCTAGAAGATTGCAATAGAAGTTAATATTGATCGGAGTGATATAGAAGTTTTCCAGTGCTAACATATTTGCTCGTATGCTGCAACATACATTTTACACTAGCTGTACATCAACAGTGAAGCTGTATTCTGCTTAAGAAGGTTCGGCCAGGATCGGATTCACTATTCTTGAAGTATAATTTATTAAAAAAGTTTTGTAAATAAGCTTTTGCACGTGTTTTTTTCAGCGAACTTTTTCATTTATTTACCACGTCTACCAGCAGGTCCAAATCTCTCAATTGTTTACTCAAAATTCGTAACACTAACAATTGAACGCTCATTCTCGCCTATAGTCGAATCAAATTATTATTTTCGATTACCACCTTCATGTTAAGTATCGAGCCATGATATATTATCACTCATTACAAAAAATAACGACATGTGCTTCTATAAATGAATATTTTTATTATAAACGAATTTACGTGAATTGCACGAAGTTCTAACTCGTACTTAGAATATTGAACTGTTACATGAACTAAAATATGCATTGAAGACTTTTTTCAACGAGGCTTCATTTTTTTACTACCCTCTTTAGGAGGCACGTCTCGGCTTTCCTCACTCACATATTCCCATCAATCAAACAGAGAGCCTAGGAATTTCTATGATAGATTTTAGTGATGAAAAATATCCACATAGCAAATCTGGATGTCTTCATTAATTTTTAAATTCCTTTAAATGAATGCTATGTAATAATATTAGTAAGTTTAATTGCAAATTAAATGGAAATTTAGATCTGTTAATTGACGAGTTTTAGTCAATTAAATTAAAATTTTTTGGACTATATTAGACATTTCGATGCAAACATGTTGTTGAGAGACGGAAGTTTCGTTATCGATTTCATGAAACATTGGGTTTTTTAATGACCCAATGTCTCACGCTTATTCATGTCTATATTTGATAGCTTCTAAACTTAACTAAAGAATAACACGCTTATATGCTGGCCTCAATGAATTAATCGTACTGAACGATAAGTAAACGAACGCACGTACAAAATCACCTAATAACTAACAATGAATCAAAGCAAAAATCTCTTTAAATGCATTACTCACACTGATCTCAGAATGTTCTTCGGAAAATGATAAAAGTTAAATTTAAATTTCCGACATAATTAATGAAGAAAAAAATAACACGTAGCACGGATAAATGCTTGAATTTACTATAAAAAAACGAAAAAAATTATAATGCACTAGGCTTCACAAAATTAACCTGGAACTCTGAACTTATGTACAATGAAAGTTATAATGGAATTTATTTGAATTGAGATTCACGAGTGAAAGGGTCCAAACGAAGAACAGTATTCCTTTGAAATTATAAAAAATTTATTCCTTAAGTTGAAGTTATTGGGAAATTAAAAGAAAAACACCCAAGCGCTGGCTCGAGCAATGAATTATTTCTGCATGCCTCAATTATAATTGAGCATGCCGTGCGGCAAATATAATTGAGCTCGAGCTCTATAGGCTCAGCTCAATTATTTCTGCATGCCTGATCACACATAAAGGCTCAGTTCCGTATAATTAAAACACTTTGCACTTTACCCGTTTTTTATTTTACTTTAAACTAGCTTCCAATACTCTTTAGATAAATGTAAAACGCTGTTCGTTTTGTTGGGTTTTGGTTTGACGTAAGTCCGCGTTTTCAAGGATAACCACGGTTTCAACAACAAATATCCCGTTTATTGGATTAAAAACTTGTATATGTAAGAGCAAAAAAAATATATCAACCCTATAAACTTCATCGTATGCGTATAATATTCAAAAATAACAAATAATCATCAGAACTATGAACAACTTATATGAAGACATAAATCAACGCACCGAAATATTGTGGGCAGTTTTGACGCGGGCTACGAACTGAGCTCGTATGAAACGAGTGTTATGTTGTAGGCTATCTTCACACTCTAAAGGTCGGATATACAAGTAAATCATAGGGGCGCATAAAAAATAGACTATTAAAACCAAGCTAACAAAGGTCTGCTAAAAATATTTACACCAGCCCCTAAATTTCAAATACCATTTAAATTTACATCTTGTGAACCTTCTCTAAGTAAAATCAGCTTGTGAATAGGCCTTTCGATTATTAGGCACCCTATCTTATTAATAGAGGAATCTTTGAACTTCGCAACCTTAATCTTAGCAACTCTAACTCTGGCGTCGTCGCCGGGTCTTATTTCAACTATGCGCCCGAGAGGCCACTGGTTGCGAGGCAGCTGGTTATCGCTCACCAGCACCAAGTCACCAGGCTGCACGGAACGCTTGACGTTTGTCCATTTTTGACGAGTTTGCAATAACGTGAGGTACTCGCGTCGCCATCTCGTCCAAAACAAATCTGCCAGGTATTGTACCTGCTTCCAACGCTTCTTTGAGCAGGCGTCACTCTTGCAAAAAAGTCCGGGCGGGAATGTCACGCCGGCATTCAAAAGAAGCAAGTGATTGGGAGTCAGCGCCTCAAGATCATCGGGATTGTCCGAGACTGGCGTCAGAGGACGGTTGTTAAGGATGGCCTCCACCTCGCACATCAACGTGCCGAATTCTTCGTCGTTAAATTTGAGAGGCTGCTCGTTTGTGAGGGCTGCCAAAACCTTCCGTATAGTTCGTATTTCTCGTTCCCAAATTCCTCCGAAGTGGGAAGCGTATGGCGGATTAAACGTCCAGGTTATGCCCTTCTGCAGCAGCCATTTTTCAATAGAATTTTTGTTCCATTGGTCAATTTCCTTCAGTAATTCACGATGAGCACCCACGAAATTCGTTCCGTTGTCACTCCTGAGTGATTTTAGATTACCACGCCGGCTTATGAATCTTCTCAGAGCATGTATAAACGAATCGGTCGTTAAAGAGTGAGCCACTTCAATGTGGATGGCTCTGCTGCTGAGGCATGAAAATACAACACCGTATCTTTTCTGCTGTGTTCGTCCTTTAGTGACGAAGAATGGGCCGAAGTAGTCGACGCCAGTATTCGTAAATGCTGGCAACTCGGCGGTCAATCTTTCGGCAGGAAGGTCAGCCATCACTTGACCAAGAGGACGGTTCTGTCGCTTCCGACAAGCAATGCAATTGAGTAACACCTTTCGAACTAGGGCGTTCCCACCAACAATCCAGTATCTCGTGCGAATAGAGGACAAAACAGTCTCGCGACCCATGTGACCGAGGTCGCTGTGAATTTTCTTCACTAACATTTCTGCGAGACGAGACTTGCCGGGTAACAGAATGGGATGTTTCGTGGCATAAGACACAGCGCTGTTCTTTATGCGACCCCTCACCCTCAAGACGCCACCTTCGTCTAAGAAAGGAGTCAATTTTCTCAAGGCCGAGGACTTCGCAACAGACTGACCTTTCCGAATCTAATAAATTTCGGAAGCGAAATTTGTAATCTGCATATGTTTGAACATTTCCATCTCGGCCGCACTCAATTCATCAGAAGTCAAACCCGGAGCGCTCACCGAGCTTCTAGAGAAGAGTTTTGCCTTCAGTCGAAGAAGCCAAGCTATTCTAACGCTCAGCTTAAACCAGTCAGATGTTGACGCTAGGAGTTTGTCCATTGGAGACGCCTCGAGCGGAGTCGTAACCAGGGCGATGGCGTCCTTCCTCACCTCAGGATCATCGGCCATGGCACTGCAGGTCACTGTTAATGCGGGCCACGTTGCCTCTGGATCTCTGAGAAATTTCGGGCCATTCTGCCACAACTCACTCTGTATTAAAGATCGAACTGATGACCCACGACTTAAAATGTCAGCGGGATTGCATTTTGTTGGAACATGGCGCCACTGATTAGGGTACGAGTGGCTTCTAATAAAAGCCACTTTGTTCGCTACGAACCTTTGGAAGCGTGCGGAATCATTAGACAGGTATTTGATCACAGTAGTGATATCTGTCCAGTAGACAATTTTTTGAAATTTGAAATCAAAGCTACCACTTAAGATTAGCTGTAATGTTACACTAAGTTTAGCGGCACAAAGCTCAATTCTAGGAATTGTTTGAGGGCCGAGTTGTTCAATGGAGTGAGTCTGGATTTAGCCATGATTGGCGAACTTACGATTATGCTGGAACTGGTCTCAACTCGAGCATAAGCCACTGCACCGTACGCAGTTTCGCTGCCGTCGCAAAAAACATGAAGTTGCGCCCGACGACCATCTGACGAGAGGTGGAGGCACCGTGGCACCAACCAATCGCTCAGAGCACGAATGTCAGTCTGCCAAGCGTTCCAAGCGCTCAGTAGAGCGGGAGGAAGTTCGTCGTCCCAGTTCAGTTTCAGTCTGCAAGTTTCCTGAAAAATTGCTTTTGCAGGTACGACTACAGGGCCAGCCAGTTCGAGGGGATCGTAGATGGAGGCGATTGTTCGCAAAACGCCTCGCCGTGTTGCTGGAAATTTCACAGCAACTACACGGTAGCCGAGGCTGTCATTGTCTGTGTTCCACGTAACACACAATGCCATCGATTCCGGCAAAGCTTGCGATGCTAGGCTATCTGCATTAAGAGCATTTGAGAGGGAATCTTCCGGTAGAGCACTCAAAACTACCTTTGAAGTTCCCGCGAAACTAGTCAAATTGAAGCTCCCCTGCGCCAAAAGCGAGCGCAGATCAAGGAGAGAAGCCACTGCTTCACTCTCATCAGGATACGACACCAGCAAGTCGTCGACGTAAAAATTGCGGTCGACTATGGTTTTAGACTTTTCCGATCGGGATTTTCCGTCGCGAGCAGTAAGGCGCAGGGCAAAGTTCGCCACGCTCGGCGAGCTCCTAGCCCCGAAGACGTGGACCTTCAGGCGGAACTCCGAGAGCTCCCCGGCTGCCCCATACCAGAAGAAGCGCATAAAATCTGAGTGCTCCGGCGGAACCCTAACCTGGTAGAACATTTTTTCAATGTCGGCCGTGAGCGCCACTTTGTCTTGACGAAACCTCAGCAGTACTCCAATCAAACTATTTGTCATGTCGGGACCTTGGAGCAAATTGTCGTTAAGCGATGTTCCACCGTACTGAAGGGAACAAGTTTGAATTCATCATGGTATTCATGAAGGCTGAATATTCCGCGAAGTAATTTTTGTTCCGTGTGAATTTTTTCTCAATTCCTTTGAATCTTTCAAGGGCTTGATTCCGGTTGTTTGGAAATTTCACATTGGCCTTCAAAGGCAAATCGATGACGTAATGATTGTCGTCATCCATCTTCGAATTCGCAGTCACGATTCCCAGAAACATATCGTCCTCCACCGAGTTACAAACTGCGTCTTCACCAGTCGTGTCGTAATCTTGAAGAAACATTTTCTTGAAATTTTCGTTTATATCGTTCTCTTTGAAATGGATCTTCGTTCGATGAACTGACGCCTCCATTCTAGTTTTAGGCGAAATCGGCCCATTCAGCGCCCATCCCAGCCAGTGCCGGGAGGCAAATGGATCGTTCCATTCCCTGCTAACAGTTTGCAGAGTTTGTAATAAACCAGGCATGTCCATTCCGATCAATACTGAAACTTCCTCATCGAGGAAGCGAAAGGGTATCGAGTCCAGAAACGGAAGCCCTTCCAAATCTTCACGTCTTGGCAAGTCTTCTTTAGAAAACGGCCAGTCTCTTTCAGGCTTGGAATACAAAACGGGCACCGTCGCAGTCACTGTTTCATCCAAGTCGCAAATTTTCAAGTTATTAAGAATCAGTGTAGGCGTTTTCAAGTTCTTGCAAGCCATCGTTGTCAAATATAAATTTTGTTTTACGGTTTTTGCACCAAGCCTCTCTATCAAACTCTCATTGATCCAACAATTAGTCGAAAATGGATCCAATGCAACATTGACCACAATCTTTATATTGTTATCCAAACTCACTTTCGCCGGGATTACCGGGCATCTTACCTTCACACCCGGACAGGTACCAGCCCCAGTTGCGAATGAAGTTCCTTCATGTCGCGTCTCAACGCTTTCAACATCGGAAGCAATAAAAGCAGGGGGAGGTGAACCATCTGCTCGCTGGACTGGTCTGTTAGATTTAACAGTCTCGTGCAGCACC